TGCTGAATGAAGGAATACATTTCCCGGATCATGCACCATGCCATGAGTTGTTTCCTTCCACTGCTCAGCCAGGTCACTGGTGGACTAAGCTGGTAGGGTTTTAAGTAAAGCAGGGATATTGATGAGTGTGCATGTGCGTGTGTCCATCTGACTAAAAACATTCCAGTGTCAAATTAAGACTATTTTGGAATTATTTACAATGTAGAAACTGGAATGTCTAGCAAGAGGATAATGGTTTGCAGCTATTAGCTACAACAGTTATGAAGGCTCTATAGAAACATGGAAAGATAAAAGCCGTCTGTATGGAAAAGGCTCGAATGAAATACACCACAGTGATCACAGTGGCTCTGCTGAGATGATGGAATTATGACTCATCCTCCAGACCTTCCTTTCTTTTAATCTTTACCAAAATGTTATATTTAATGACTGTGAGTATATTAAAAGTAATAAAACAGGAAAAAGAGTAAAGGGAAAAGTCAATGGCTGGCAGTTAAGTGCTGAGATACAATTGACCTTAGGCAAGATGGTAGTGATACTGATTAGAGGTCTTTCCTAGAGATTTCTCTACTTGGCCACTTTTCCTTTAGGCCTTGTTTGCTTCCCTGATTTGCCGCTTCCCCTGCCCCATGCTTCTCCAACTATCCCAGTCTGGGCTTTTTTTTTTTTCTTTCAACTTTTCTAGTATGCCTTCAATAAAACCTACCTGTCTTATTTTTTCTTGCTAGGACCATCAATTATTCCTAAATAATGACATGGTAAATGTGAATGAGTTAATATGCAGCCTCCTTTGGTGAACATACAGCTACAGATAATGACACAAAGGAATAATTGGAGTCCTTCCTTGGTTTATTCAACCTCCACAGATCTCTACTTTCATCCATCCATCCATCCATCCATTCATTCATTCACTCACTCAGCTTTGTCCTCGTCAGTGATTTTTATGATGACCCAGAAGGCACGTTTACCATATTTGTGGATCATTTGAAGCAGGAGCTATAGAAAGTCCACAGGATGGCAGAGACCACAAAGACTTCGACGGGCCAGAGAGGCAGACTAAAACAAACAAGAGGCTTAAACAACACGCACAAGGTCTGCAGCCTGAGTCAACCCAAGCTGCGGCTGCACAAGGGCAGCCAGATAGCAGCTCTCGTGAGAAAGCCTTGGGGCTTTCACCGAGAGTAAGTTCCGGAAGAGTTCAAGGTATGAAGGCACTGACAGAAAAGGCTCCTTTGATCTCAGGTCCCAGGAACAGAAGCAAGTTCTCTCTGTAGCAGCCCCTGGGAGGAGCGGGAGGAGCAGGAGGAGCAGGCGAACCAGGAGTCCAGCGCTGGGAGGTAGAGCCTCAAAAAGCAGGCAGAATTCCAAGTAAAGCCAATGGCGATCTTACAAACAGCAGCAGTGCCCACCCATGCGAGGGAGAAGGTAGTCAGGAGCAGACAGGAGCATGAGTAGCAGGAACAGGAGGAGCCAGGGAGCCCAGGCCAGTGGCCCCTGAAGTGCCACCAGTGCAGTGCCGCCCTGCTCTCAGTGGCACTGGCCTCATCTCCAGGAGGGGGCTGTCCCCTGTGCTTCCTTCTCCACGCTGCTCTTCCCACCTGAACGATTTTCCTTCCTCGCTCTCACTGGCCCTTCCCACAGGCTTTTCTCTCTGCCTGAAAGGAAAACTACCTCTAGGAGGAGGGAAATGATAGTTGTGCTGCATTTTCAATCCTGAGGGTGTCACCTGCGGGGACACTGATATGCTGGAGCCTTGTAAGCTGAGCTAGATGGAATTTCTGGAGCGTGTCAGCTGAAGGGTAACCAAAGGGACGTGGATGCTGAGGCTGGAGACAAGATGCCCACGGCACAAGAGGTGTTTTTACGTGTTCAATAAATTTTCATGTGGAGATATTAGAGCATTGAAGAGGAAATCCACAAATCGACTCAGTAGATGGGTTGAATGGCTTTTAAACCCAGTACCAGATGTTTACGTTCTTTGAAAATGGGGGCATTTCAGTCACAGTGGTAGTTTCCCATAGCACGACTTTTGAGCCAGTGGAGTCATCAGCATCTGATCAGTAAAATCATACATGTGCCGACCTGGTGAACTCCACAGAACTTCTTAGCAGAGATTTGGGCGTGTGTGCTTTTTAGACCAAGGAGCCTGAACTGTCCGGAGGATCTGTACTGTGAAGCTTTTTAAAATGTAACACAGAAGGGTTTTATGAGATCATCCAGTTCTTGTATTCAACCATACATATTTGCATTATGCAGAATATACCCATAGAGTATTTTTTCCTTTTGTATCAAGCCACCTAACCCAAGTGGGAAAGAAATTCCCGACTGATCCTCAGTGACTGTAGCTGATCAGCTCCGCGCTTGGTCTTTGGAGGAAGATGAGAACCCAGGCTCCCTCCTGTCTCTCACACTGGTGCTCCAACACCCTTATTCAGTCTCAAATATTAAAGCTGATGGATTTAGCAACAGTGTGCTTCTGAATAGGGGCGAGAAAGAAACCTCAAGAGAATGTTTGTAGCTGATAACAAGAGAGAAGTGTCTGGTTTTGCTAACCAAACAGGAGATGAAATGTTCTTTTGTATGTGAGCAGGAAGCAAGCAGATTGTCTAGTTCAATAGCTTTTTATACCCACCAGCCGTGTTGAATTCCATCTTCTCCATCAGTATTATCTATAAAACCTCTTTCATTAGAGATTTAGTTAGGAGAGTGCTGTAGCCTGTTCTCATTCAAAGGTATTATCTCTTTCGGGTAGAGGACTGGGAGCTATACCTTTATTCCCCATATCTAAGCTAAAATGAAATCAGGAACAAACCCTTGTGACAATTTGTAGCATTTTTGAATTCTTTGTGAGAAAGGTAATGCAACTAACAAAGAAGTCATAGTCAATAAATTGGTGACTCTAATTAAAATCAACTTTTCAAAAGAGTAGTTGGGAAATGTGGAAGCCCTTACTGCAGCATGGTTTTCATGTAAATCTTAGATTTGACTGTCACTCTATTAACCTTAAATAATTAAGCAACATATTAATATCATTGATTAGCATCTTAGATTATAAAGATTGCTTCAGCTGTCCGTCAAATACCTGTTCTGGCTTTACAGACACAACGTAGATTCATTGCTGGCAGCAGGTTTGGAAAATGTCTCTATGAGTTAAATATATCAAAATGGCATTTGAAAAAATGTATAAGCAAATTAAACCTTTGTACATGGTACTATGGACCACTTTCACCCAGAGTCAAGTGAATGTCCCTCCTGAGAAGCCCTCCTTGGGTTTTCCCTGCCAATAAATGTGCCTTTTCTTCTTTGAGCCCATGGAGGACTCAACACCCCTCCAGCACTGGAAGGCCGCTCCTGCATTGCAGCCTCTTCAAGTGTCCACCTCCTTATCACAGTCCAAGCCCTTTACAAGGCAAAGATGATGGCTCTCCATCAGTGTTTTCAGCCCTAACCCAAAGCCTGACCCCTGCTGAATGCTGCAGAAGGACGATGCTGACAGCTTCTCCTTGAAAGAGAGTGTAGGAGTGACAAGCAGCTCTCAGGTGAGACCAACAGACACTGTGGCTCTGCACCTATGTCCCAGGCTGTGTTCTGGGCTGGGGGACCAGTGAGGAGAAGGATCAGCTGTCAGCTGGAAGGGGTTCTGTGGGATGATGCTATGGGTTTTAGAGGACGCAGGGGTGCGGGAGGCAGACAAAGGAGCCAGGGAGAGTGGTGAGGAGAACTGGAAAAATAGAAAGGGCTGGTGAAGCCAGCAGGTAAGCAATGCCTCCGGCAGTCTTCCTTGCCTCTGAACCAGAAGGGATCCAGGGACAGTTAGTGGCTCAAGTCCTGCGGCTCCAGGTGCCCAGACGTGCATTTCCTGTGTGGAGTGGCCGGGGCCTCTCCTTGGTGTGCAGCCCAGAAGTGTGGCAACTTCGGGTTGCCCAACCTTCCCAGGCGGGGAGGTAGTCCAGTCCTTCAGGAAGAGTCGCTGGCTCCGTTCAAGTGCCATCACAGCCCCTTGTATTATGTCCCTCTGACGGGTTCCAATAGGGCTATTTTTCAAACCTGCGGTATTTACAGAGACAAGACTGGGCTGCTCCGTGCAGCTCAGGACGATTTCAGCCTTTGAGGTAATGGAGACATAATTGAGGAACAACGTGGAATTAGTGTCATAGCAAATGATCTAGTGCCTCAAGTTAATTTCACCCGGTTGTGGTCAGAGTCACTCATCTTGAGTAGCAAGCTGCCACCAGAAAGATTTCTTTTTCGAGCATTTAGGAAATAAAGTTCAAGTGCTGTGCGCTTCCAAGTTGCAGGAGCAGTTTCACGCCTCAGCTTTTTAAAGGTATCATAATGTTATTCCTTGTTTTGCTTCTAGGAAGCAGAAGATTGAGGAAATGACTTGGGCGGGTGCATCAATGCGGCCGAAAAAGACACGGACGCGCTCCCCTGGGACCTGAGCTGTTTCGCAGTCTTCCCAAAGGTGCCAGGCAAGCGTCAGTTCCCCTCAGGCGCTCCAGGTTCAGTGCCTTGTGCCGAGGGTCTCTGGTGCCTTCCTAGACTTCTCGGGACAGTCTGACGGGGTCAGAAGCGGCGGGACAGCGCGGGAAGAGCAGGCAAGGGGAGACAGCCGGACTGCGCCTCAGTCCTCGGTGCCAAGAACACCGTCGCGGAGGCGCGGCCAGCTTCCCTTGGATCGGACTTTCCGCCCCTAGGGCCGGGCGGCGGAGCTTCAGCCTTGTCCCTTCCCCAGTTTCGGGCGGCCCCCAGAGCTGAGTAAGCCGGGTGGAGGGAGTCTGCAAGGATTTCCTGAGCGCGATGGGCAGGAGGAGGGGCAAGGGCAAGAGGGCGCGGAGCAAAGACCCTGAACCTGCCGGGGCTGCGCTCCCGGGCCCGCGTCGCCAGCACCTCCCCACGCGCGCTCGGCCCCGGGCCACCCGCCCTCGTCGGCCCCCGCCCCTCTCCGTAGCCGCAGGGAAGCGAGCTTGGGAGGAAGAAGAGGGTAGGTGGGGAGGCGGATGAGGGGTGGGGGACCCCTTGACGTCACCAGAAGGAGGTGCCGGGGTAGGAAGTGGGCTGGGGAAAGGTTATAAATCGCCCCCGCCCTCGGCTCCTCTTCATCGAGGTCCGCGGGAGGCTCGGAGCGCGCCAGGCGGACACTCCTCTCCGCTCCTCCCAAGCAGCGGCGGCGGCGGCTCAGAGCGGGCTCCGGGACTCAGGCGCAGCGGCCAGCGGGCGCCTGGCGGCGAGGATTACCCGGGGAAGTGGTTGTCTCCTGGCTGGAGCCGCGAGACGGGCGCTCGGGGCGCGGGTCCGGCGGCGGCGGAGAACAAGAGGAAGGACTTGGGCGGCCGGGTCGTTGGCCGCGGGGAGCGCGGACACCAGGCGAGCAGGCCGCGTCGCACTCACCATGGTCTTCTGCTGGGACACCGGGGTCCTGCTGTGCGCGCTGCTAGGCTGTCTGCTTCTCACAGGTGAGGCGCGGCCGGGGGCTGGGGCCTGAGGCGGGCTGCGATGGGGCGGCCGGAGGGCAGAGCCTCCGAGGCCAGGGTCGGGTGCACGCGGGGAGACAGGGCTGCAGCCCCGAGAAGCTGGCTACGGCGAGAACCTGGGACACTAGTTGCAGCGGGCACGCTTGGGGCCGCTGCGCCCTTTTTCCGAGGGAGCGCTTCGGGGAGTGGCTGGCCTGGACCCGCGAGCATCAGCGCTCAGACGGGGTCCGCGCTGGGGCTGTCCGTTTGCGACAGGGTTGCCGATCCCTTATGCAGCTGTTGGGTTGGGGTCTCACTGCCGAGGCCCCGGGCACTAGGAGCCCCCACGCACCTGGACCTGCCTGGCACCCAGAGCCCGCTCCCAGGCGGCCTGGCGCAGATACACGGGGTCGCCTGGAGCCGGGAGCAGAGGCTCCTGAATGCCTGCCAGGCTGTCCAGGGCGGCGCTGGGCTGAGGCCGGGGCGTTGGTGATATTGGGCACCGGCCGCGACCTCGCGCCACGAGAGTGAAGGAGGGGAGCCGATTTGGAGGAGACGCGTGCCTGCGGGGAGCAGGAGGAACGCAAGAGAGGGCCAGGGCCGGCATCTCATGACCCGCTAGGGCCCCCGAGCCGGACTGTCCCGGGGAACGCGCGGTGAGCGCCCGCTCCTCCCAGCCGCGCGCGGACCGCGGGGCCCCAGTGCGCTGCGCTCAGCCACCGGGTGGGGCCTCTGCCGGGAGCAGGCGGGGTGCGCCGTCCAGCCAGTGTCGCCGACATCAGTGACCCTGACCGACGAGGGCAGCCCAGGGCCCAAATACTGTTAAGTTACTGACTTATAAGCCTAGCCTTTAAAATCCCAGCGAAGAGAGGGCGGGCGATTTTGACCAAACGATGCGGTTTGAGGAATCGGTGAGGTCCGCCCGCCACCTAAGTCAGCCTTCGCTGGGCGTTTGGGAGACGGGCGGTGGAACCGTCAGGGGCTGGGGGTTTTACCAGCAGTTAGACCGCCGCCATCGAGGGGTCAAAGCCCCAAGGAACTTGAGGGTTCGGACTCGCAGCCTCTGCTCAGTGGGGCTGAGTGGCGGAGCCTTGTGCCTCGTTCCCCTGGGCGCAGAGAGCCAGATTTCGGAGCGCCTTTCTTTTAAGCATCGTGGAGAAAAGGTAAAATATGAAATAAAATACAGTAGTATAAAATAAATCATTGCAATGATTCCCGGGAGGAAAAGTCAGTAAGATGGAGCATATTAAAACCACCACCACAACAAAAAAAAAGCTTGTTAAACCTAAAAAGCAGTAATAGTTAAATATTCTTTCTCAGTGGGAAGACTAACTAGAAGGTCAGTTTCCAAGTAACAAGTAATAGTTCCAGTTAGATTGGTGAAACTACTGAACCCGGAGACAGGGCGAAGTAGTAACTTCTGAGAACTCACTGTAGGTTGGGAAAGATGCTAACATAACTCTATTAAATAAAATGTTGTATTTTCTATTTCACAAATACATTTTTTGTTTTGAAAAGTCACTTGTATTAAAATATAATTGCTTAGAGAATTTAAATACCTCACTCGACTATTATGTAAAGATAAATCTAGGTAAATTACATGAATCTAAAATTATGGAGGGAAAAGTATGTGATTTATTAGTTTTTCTACTTCACATAGATATATCTTTATTTCAAAAACATGCTGACTTTAGTGAAGCATCGTTTTGTTTGTAATTGGGACCATCTTAGTTAGGTGGAAACTTTACAGAAACTTGAGTGGGATCCTCTTGTGATTTTTCTTAGATTATAATTTACTGAAATGGGGCAGCAGTTTTCGAACTCTGATTTTGTTTTTTGTTTTTTTTTTTTGCACTTTTTTGGAAGAAAGGACTAACATTGGCAAGGTGAGAGCCTCTTTACCTGACAGTTAACAGAATATTCTGTTAGCTCATGTTAGCTCAGTCTGCAGCGTGGGTGCTTTTGAAAACCCATAGTTTCTCTGTCTGGTTAACAAACATCTCACAGTAAAACCATCAGCTACCACCTACTTTACAAACCGCATCAGGGCTTTCATGCTCAACTGAGGGGCTGCATATCCGGGAAGCAATGTCTAGTAAGAAGCCACGTTTCCGCCCTGCAGAGTTCTCTTGCATCATTATGAACCTGGGTCTGCTTTCCTTCAGGTGCTATGTAATCTTTGAATACTTATCAGCTATTAATATTGTGTGTGTGTGCATGCCTGGTGTGCACATGCATTGAGATGTAAAATAACCAGAGGCTCAGTAATACAAAAAGATAATGCCTTTCCCCTCTAAAGAGTTTATTTACCTCTTCCAGATCTTCTGGGAAATAAAAAGATGCTAATAATTCAGATACTTTCAAGTCCTCTCTATTGCTCTTTCTCTGTAAAGGATACCAGTACTCTTTCTCCAGCTCTGAGCCTCATTTCCTACTTTTAAGGTATCACAGCCTGGATGAAAGCTACAGATCTTTTTCTTTGTCCTCATTTTTCTTGAGTTCTTAAACAGCTAACATTTACAATTTACTATAACTAAGTGGAAATATTGAAATCGTGAATTTTGTGAAGGAAGTCCACATTAATAATATTAATGTGTACATGAAAATACCTATTTCAAATTGAATGTAATGAATCTCTTAAAGTTAATTTTTTGTAACAATTTTTGTTGTTTTCCCCAAGGTTTTTTATCAAGCTGCACTTTTTTTTAGTCTAAATTGCATATTCGAAATACTAATTATTTAGGAGCTTTGGCAGCCTACAGTTTTCCAACTGATGCATCATGTTACAAATGAACTGTAGGTGACTACTTACTCCAGTTTCTCAAATATTTTTACTTTATATTTTAGCACTTTGTTCCATTTTTTTAATTTCCCTGTTGGAAATTCTATAATAGGCTATCTGGTTTCTTTTCTAATGATCACCAAATGGGTACTTTGCTTTCGTATGTAAAATGAAGACGTTAGAATAGGTGGTTGATTTCTAAGGCCCTTTCCTGACTCCAAAATTCAATTAATGATTCCAAGAAATGGCCTGAACACCGTGTCTGTCTTTCCCTTTTTCTCTTCCCCACCTTATTTATATTTGTATGTAGAGTGGATGAGAAACCATATGATGCTGGAGCTGTTAGGATGAACTGGGTTTCCCCTGCTAATCACATTAAATTTTCTTTTTCTCTAGTAGTATGTACCTAAACAGCCTGTCAATTTGGCCTTGTGTAGGCTGTTTTGGAAGAGATGGGCTGGTAGAGGACGCCTGAGCCAGCAGTCATCTTTATCTTGGGCTTTTTTTACTAGTAGAATGTATAACTCTATAAAGTAGATGCTCCCTCAAAACTCTAGTGGCATTAACTCTTCTAAGGATAGCAGTCATTTTAAACCCCTATTTATTTCTTGAATTTTAAAAACCAACACTTATTTGCTTCAAAATGGCTTTATTCTTTTAAAAAAACGTTCCAGATTTTAACAGGGATACTAAACTCCTTATTTAAGATTGAGCCTACTTTATATGACTTTTAAGAAACTAAGTAATTACTTTGTTCTTTCCAAAAATGATCGAGACATTTATAAATCTACTTCAAATTTATTTAATATGGAAGTTGAAAGTGATGTGTTACAAAAAAATGGTTTCACATTGACCAAAATAATGTAATGTCCTTGAGGAAGATTATGCAGCCAGTCGCGATCTACACAGCAGAGTTATGGCTGATGTTTGACCTGGCTTGGGCAGTTGGGCAAGACAAGAACAAATAACAGAGTAAGTAGCTTCTGTAGTGCTTTAAACTGAGATGTGTATGTGGGTGGGGATAAGAATGGAGAGAAAGCGAGAGAAGCTATCTTGGCACATGAATGTTAAAAGCGAAGCCTGCTGGTGTTAGTACAGACCAGGAGTGTCCAGTTCTTGGTTTGGATCTCACAGTTAGGGGTCTGTTGGGTGTTAAGTAAATATCATCATTTTTCAGTGCGTTTGTCATTGCAGGTAGGGGAGGAAGGGCATCTGAAATCATACCAGACTTTTTTTTAAGTAAAAATATATTAGTGTGAGTAGTTAAAAGCATAGACCATCTGCTGCATTTGGTTTAAGCAATTTGGTGGAACCGAACAGTCCATTCTGCTCCATTGGCCTTCATTGACAGGAGAGGCTTGTAAGAAATGACAAGATCTCCTGCCAGATGCTTTCCAGGATCACTGGTGGTTCCTCGCACTCTTGGGTGCTGTGGAAATTGCATGCTGCTGATTAAATTGCTGGATTTTATACCAGATTGAGGGAGGGGAAGGAAATGGGAGGAATGGGGTATTTGAGGGAGGGCTTGAAAAGAAAGCCTCTGACTTAGCTCACGGGGCTGCAGGGGGGTTCATTAAGGAAACAGTTGCATTGAGTCTGCTGAAGATAGTGGACTAGATTTCCTGCATTGCCGCTGGGGCGGATGTGGGGAGATGTCAAGAATTCCTGGGGATTTCCCATCCGTCTTGGTAAAGCTGGATGCCTGAAAGCCATTTCTGATTGCTGCTCCTTTCCTCAATTTTGAGCTCTTTGAGGGACTTGATCTTGCCTCACAGACACACACGCACGTTGTAAGAGCTAGATGGAACCTCATAGACCCCATCTACTCATGCCAGAGATGGGAAAACCGGCCCAGAGGAGGCCAGTGCTGTTTTTCAAGGTCAACAGCTGGCTAGTGGCAGGCCCAGGAACAGAACCTGATGTTCCTGCTACAGACAACATCTCTTCTTCACTGGTGTATTTCCTCTTCCCCAAACGGAAGACAGATGTTCAAATATTTATTGACTAACATTATTACAGTGCTAAAATTTCTTTCCAAATGACATCTTTTTAATATGAAGTTTTCTTCTATTTTCTTAAAGCACATAAGGGGTTTAAACTAAGAATCAAAATGATGGCTGCTTAGTAGCATGCCAAGAGATTTGATGAGAAGATTAACTTTCCTTACGAGCACTTGGCATCCTTTTTCTGAACAGCTGTGGCTTACATACTTGTGGCTTAT